AGCGAATGGAAATGCTCAGTGGTTAAGGCGATTCCGAAAGGTAGTGACGCCAGCAAAGTGGACAACTACAGTCCGATTTGTCTGACACCTATTTTGGCCAAGCTTGCTGAGAAGATCGTGAAGAAGAGTATTCTACAGCTGCTCCATTCAAAAAATCTACTGACGCCTGCGCAGCACGGTTTTATGCTAGGCCGTTCACGCATTACCAACCTGCTGGTGACGAGGCATGAATGGTTGCAGGCAGTAAATCAGGGGAAGTCTGTCGACGTAATTCACGATTTCAGTAAGGCGTTCGACAAGGTTAACTATGAGGTACTCTCCACAAGCTGAGAATGTGTGATGTTGGTAGAACACTGCACCAGTGGATCCACGACTTTCTCCTTGGGCGAAAGTGGAGGGTACAGGTCGACGACCATCTAAGTGACTGGTATCCCTCTACTAGTTTAGTACCCCAAGGCATGGTGCTGAGACCCAGCTGTTCCTAATCCATATCAACGATCTACCTCAGCTTCTTCGGTCGCTGTGTGCCCTGTTTGCAGACGACCTGAAGATTTGGAGAGAAATTAGCACCCCAGACGACTGCAGCCTACTTCAGCACGACCTCAACCGCCTCTCCATGTGGTCTGCGGAAGTCCGCCTCCCGGTCAACCCATCCAAGTCGGTATTTATAAGCGTTGGCAAGGGTTGTGATGGCCGAATGTACACCATTGACGACCAACTGCTACATCCCACACCTTCCGTGAAGGACCTAGGTGTACTCTCGCGGTGCGGTCTGAAGTCTGTTGACAACACAAACAGACTATATCGTAACGGACTGCGCATACTTTGGGAGATCAAACGCAGCTTCTGTACTTGATCTGAAGAGGTCGCCACTCGCCTCTTCTGTTTTATCATAAGATTAATGATACAGTACGGATCACCTGCCTACTGCCCAATCACCCAAAGCGAGGCACAGAAGATCGAACTGGTCCAACGCATCGCTATCAGACTCATTCCAAGTTTACGGGAATTATCGTTCGAAGACCGGTGCGAGAAACTCGGACTCTGCCTCTTGTTCTATCGTCGGATGCGAGTCGATCTCCTTATGACCTACCATATATTACATCTGCGTGACTTCCCCATGTTGAAGCCACTGCTCCAAATGCGAACGCCATGCAACACACGCGGACACCGATACAAGCATGTGGTTCCGGATATAAAACGATTACCGCACCCCCTGTGCTTCGAACGGAGAGTGGTAAATGTTTGGAACAGTCTGCCAGAACAAGTCGAAGAGGTTAAATCTGTACAGCAGTCCAAAATGTTATTGGATTTACATTTCAGCTCCATTCTATTCAGTGAACGAGTGCACAATAGCAATTACATCTTGCATTTGTGAAATCTATGAAACTGTAAGCCAGACCTTCTAAAATGCTACATAAGAACTTGTCGAACGATCCGATTGTCACGGTGTGCAGACACTTTTAATAATGTTTTATCTATATTGCGATGGAGTTGTACAGATTTATTTTTCTACTTGCTCTAACCTACAGTATTCTGGAGTCTGATGCAGGAATGTATCCCAACTCCTTCTTGAGAACCATTGACTCTTCATAAAACAAATAACAGCCGACCTCACAGAGGTCGGCGAACTCTCAGAACTATTTTATAAACCTTTCATTAGTCTTTTAACCTATGAAGCACTATTAATTTTATACCAACGCACAAGATCTTCCTATCAAACTGATAGAGCTCCGGCTACGTCAGGCCTCGATGTCATTGGACCACATCATGGTAACCGAGACATGGTTGAGTGAAGTGATTACTGACGCCGAAATCGTACCATCTGCATAACGTTCGGCCGAATAGAGGTGCTGTACTACCCTTTTATCACAGTGAGCTACACCTTGATCTCATCGATGACCCGAATGTCCAGATTGTCGATTTGCTTTGGTGCCGTCTTTACCTTAAACCTGGTGACACATGTTTAGTGGGCATCCTCTGTCGCGCACTTGAGAACTGGCTAATTGACTAACTTTTCACTGTGAGGACTATCATCGCACACTCACATTCTCCTGATTGGTGACTTCAATCTTCACGCCATAGAAATCCCAGCCTGTCTCGATGAAAACTTCAAAATTGAATCACATGAGCTAATCATCGGATTTCTACAACCACGTCACTTCCCTCACGAGATTCAGCATGGGGAACAAACTACGCCTCATCGATCTCGTGTTCGCCAACGAGGAGCTTATGATCGAAACGTTATCGATAACTAGTCCTTTGCGCCGCAGCGATCATGTGACACTCTTGTTAAACTACATCTGTTATGCAGAGTATTCCGTAGACAATTCCAATGACTCTCAGCTCATTACCGCTTACGACGTTCTGACTACACTCATCAGTGCAACCAAGTGGTCTTTTATAGCTGAACCATCCCCCAATGTCGCCTGGTGGGATTTTGTTCATCAATTAAACAACCCAGTAACCAGTGCTTCGAGGAGCAGGCCCCAGCCCGCGGTTAGAGTAAAGCTATTCATACGCACTAACGCGCGGAAAAGTATAGTCATTAGAAATACTCTGGCGAGAGTGCTGGATGTCGACGCATTGGAAGCCTTCACTCTCTCAATGACTCATTACGTGAACCGGCTAGACGGGGATAACCTAAAGCGTCTACTGGATCTAGTCTAAAAATTCTATTCAAACCCCAATCTCCCTTACAGACACGTTAAGAAACCAGTAAAAATCAGCGAGGGATTCCTGCCCTACACATATCATGTGGACAGACACAAGCTGTAGCAGAAGCAGTCAACACCCTACGTCAGCAATTCTCCACAAACTTCTTGAGCACAATTCCGTCGCCCATGCTGTTCACGCAAGTTGTAGCAGCGTCAGGATTTAGGCACATCTCTTTTACAGTTGCGGACGTTCTGAAGACGCTAATTTTCTTGTGCGAGTACACCACTTTTGGTACTGATACTATTCGTCCGAAGACACTACATTGAATCCGGCGGAACCGATCTCTACGAGATGCGTGCTCTAGCACTGTGGTAGCACGGATTCCCCACTCTCATTCACAAAGAGGGAATTCGTGCAGATCCAGCCAACAACGCCCGATAACACAGCTTCCGGTGCTCTCCTAAGTCATAGAGGCTATTATAGCCGAAGCGCTGATGATTTACTTGGAAGAATGCACCAGAACAAAATGCATTTAACCACAGTCGGTTTTGCATCACAAACATGCTATTTCTTTGCCCCAGTTGGACTAAAATCGTCGACAGCGGTGTGGGACTCGACTCTTCTTATCTGGACTACTAAAAATCCTTCGACCGTCTGAACCACCACATCCTCATTCACGAGCTTCATAGCTGTGGAATCGGTAACTCAGTTCTCGGTCCGATAGCTGACTTCCTGATTCAACGACATTTGAATATGAGAGTTCGTAGCGCCATCTCCGACCCTATCGACGTTCAGTGCGGAGTGCCACCGGGCTGGGTACTTTGTCCACGCCTGCTCCTGATTTACTTAAACGATCTCGTGGAAGTGTTTGCCTCAAATATCTTCGCTGATGATCACAATATATTTCCGGCCATCAAAACATCTTGATGACCGGGTAAGCACTGCAAGATGAATTTGATATGAGTGGGCAACTCAGAATCTACCTCATTTCAACGCCATCAAGTGTAAGCCCTTGGGCATGCCCCGTCAATCTATTTGCAGGTACAGATTGGGGGATCACGTTTCGCGGCACACTTCTACAGAATGCGACCTAGGTGTGTTAGTACAAGACGATCATGGCTGTTTATGACAGGCCGAGAAGGCGTTGAAAAATTCTAATCGACACCTTAGTCTATGCCGGAGGGCATTCAGACGATTTAACCGTTTTCTCTCCCATCAGATGATCCACACCTACATTAGGTCTCATTCGGAATACGCCATTTACCTCTGGTAGCCGTGCCACACGCACGACCTTGTTGCACTTGGAATGCCACAAAGAAGGACGGCCAAGAATTTAAAGGCTCTGTCTCATCTCTGTTGCCAACTGAGGAAGAGAACCCTTAGGATCTACGGTGGACAATATCGATACATACGTGGCGATTTGATAACAACATATTTGATCCTGAGGAATCCAAACAATGCTCGTCGTTATTTTCTGAAGCTGAGACCTAATACCACTCTGAGAGTTCACCAGCTAAAGCTGACCACACAATAGTATAGCCGGTTGGATTGTTGCAGCAACATCTTTTCCTTTCGCATGTACCAGCCTTAGAAAGTTGTTTCTTCCCCCACACTAGCAGCATTCAGAAAACATCTCCGTGATATACTCATACATTAACCTTACACCACATAATCTTATCTGGCTGGGTGTCAGCGTAACACTGCAAGTCTGTGACCAGTTTCACTTCCGGCACTTAGTTACCTTAACGGTGCTTCTGTAGAATACGTTTAGGATGTAGTCATGCTGGGTTTACTTGTCACATGGACCTAAAGAACCAGTGCATAGTTGAGCGTTTTAATGTTTACTTGTCTCAAAGAATTCGTCCAGTACGACTGTTGTTCATATTGTCCTCTGTGTGTTTACACCCAATTTCCATTTCATGCTATCGGGATGAAGCAGCGCAACTTCATCGGTAGACGCTTGTACTGACGATTCGTACATCTTTTGATTTCGTATATTTTACCCCTACGGCACTTGACAAACACTCGTTTTTTCAACCATTTTTCATTGTACTTAGCTCATTTTTGCGGAGATGTATTGGTTAGTGGTCGACTGCTGGTGACAGTTGTCACTGGTACCACGTGTCGTACTATATTGTCATTTCACCTTTCCTATCATTGAAAGTTGAGCTCGTTTTTCACAATCTAACTTTTCACTCAACACCCAAGTCATCTGCTTGTCTCTTATCCTTGTTCTTCTCAACCTGACACAGTAGCAGTAGCTAATCACCTGACTCTTGATTAGAAACTCCTAATCAAATTAGTATCTAATTTTTGTTCCTTTCTCGCTCTGGGGGTTTTAGGTGATTGGGAGTGTGTTCATCATCCCTTCACGGCTCCAACTTCTGAAACCTTACACTTTGTTTACTGTGACCCGTCCAGAGTGGTTGCGCAACACTACGATTTGGTTTGCAACGGAAACGAAGTTGGCGGTGGTTCCATCCGTATCCATGACGCCTCCTTACAGCAGTACATTCTTTCCACTATCCTTAAGGTAAGCGCCGCGTCTGCTGCTTTACTAACACTTCATATTTATCAGGAGGACACACGGCAAATGGAATATTTTATAACTGCTTTGAAGTCAGGGGCCCCTCCTCACGGAGGCATTGCGTTGGGTAATTTTCGTTATTTGTCCATGCTTCGGTTCTCAGGTTTAGATCGTTTGATTGCCTTGATACTAAACACGAACTCCATCCGGGATGTCATCGCCTTTCCAAAAGCGGCAGACGGTTATGACCTCATGTGTGGTGCCCCATCCAAAGTACCCGATGAAGATCTTAAACATTACAGAATTACCCTAACTAAGTGATTTGACCTTGCCATCAGTTTTATGCTGTCGTGTTGATCATCTACTGTACAAATACTTGAAATACAGGTCAACTCCTTTGTGGTATCTTTGCTTCTACTTATTCCGATTGTGAGATGCTCGTGGGTCGCCCCTTTTTTTCTCGTTCTTTATCTACTTGTGTATCTTATCTGTACACTACCGCAAAATTCTATCATACTTAATGGTGACATAATTAGTTAGGTTCATCACTGAATCTGATCGTCCTTCTATGCGTATTCTCGTTCATTATTAATCCCACTTCCTTGTGTGTGAGATTGTTGAGTCCAACGCTCACGATAGAGTCTCTCCATCAAAATTCCATTGTGGGTCCAATTGTTGGTCAAAGACTGGAAGCAATGTACTTAAATCAAACACTCTGTATCTGAGTGAACATTAAGAGAGAGTCATCTCACAAACCGCCGCAAGTATTCTTTTTTATGATTACTAACAAGAAAATGTTGCTCGTGGAAATATTTTGATATTAATCCCAACCCTGGCACCCCACGACCGCGGTTTCATCCTGGTTTGGACTCATTAGGTGAAGATAGCTTGAGCTGGGGTGGAAACCAGAGCCTAGTGATTCACGGCTGATGCCATAAACACTATGCCATTGAGATCCGCGAACAACGCTTAGTGCAGCGGAATCGAATTAAAAGTTGGATTTAGAGACTCCGCTGAATGGTTGGGTTGCTACAAGCAACCGCTGTTTTGTCCTGGCTTGGACTCATCAGGTGGAGATACTACAAGTCCAACTTTTAATACGTTTCCGCTGTACCAAGCGTTGCTCGCAGATCCCAGTGGCATATTGCTTATGGCTTCAACCGTGAACCACTGGCCTCTGAGTTCCACCCCAGCTCAGTCTATCTTCACCTGATTAGTCCAAACAAGGACGAAACCGCGGTCGTGGGGTGCCAGCGTTGGGATGATCAACACCAAATTATTTCCATTTCACCTACAGTTCTTGTGCTCGGAATGACCGAGGTCTCAATAGAGGTTTTTTGTAGCAACCCAACTACACAATGGATTCTCCAAATCAAACTTTGAGAACTCTACTTACTTCATACACCACATCGTCCTAGAGCACCCACTTCTTTGGAACCATGGGTACAATTTTGCGTTAACTCTTTAAGCATTCGCACTTCAATCCGATCGGCCAACAGGCGGAACTCGCCATAACTTTTCCCTCCTTCGGATTTCTTGTACACTCTTTCCGTAACACACACGGGACCACAGGGTCCTAGTTTATCTGCGATATTCACTGTGCCTACATCGCTGTCGGTAAATGTCCGGAGTCTCTTCTTACTGAATGAATATCATTAAACAGCACATATGTGCCACTCGACCTTGTAGTCTCACTGAACTTTCCTGGTTACGGCCTCAACGACTGCAGCCCAGAAGGCATCGAAGGTGAGTTCTTTAAGCATCTATCCTCTGTTATCTAAATGAAATCGTGATCGGTTGACTATTATTGTCACCCCGGAGGTAGTTTCGGTTCGGTGCTAAGTTACACAGCCTCCACCCCAGCAGTGACGATCTCTCATAAGCTCATATCTGAAACTGGTTAACTGGTTGTCATACATGTTATTATTGCACTGGCATTAGGTTATATATATATTTTTAGAATTAGTCCCCGAAACGAATTAACGTAGTGAGTGGATCTTAAAATGAAGGGAAAGATTGATAATCAAAATTTTTGTGGTAGCTGTGAGATATGACGAAGATTGTTTAGGTTGATTTTCGGGTTTTACATCACTGCCTTGTGTCTTGGATTGCGACACGCAATCTCATTTGTGACCTCGGTGGACTTTGAAGTCAGCGTCTGCCAATACGATCACTGGGACCGTCACCGAAACTCATCCATGCACTCCAGGGAGTGTCGGGATGGGAGAGATCCACACCGAAACCCTCCACATTGTTTAGCTTGCTTTATAAACTTTGGGGTTTCAAGCGGTGTGTCTGGGTTCAGGCTTAGATTATCGAAATGGTATGTATTACCATTTTCGTTGGAAATCATCGAGAGGTTGTCACGGCGCTTGGGGTTGTGGCCGAGTATGGCCCTCTAAAAAATGGTTCGCGGAGAAGCCCCTAGTTGGTGTAATAGGTTATGGGAGCCGAAGAGTTAAAAGCACGGCTTCTTGCAAGTTCGCTTATGAATGCCAGTTTGAAAGGCTGTCTCATCCGCATCATGACACTAATACCTTGTTGATTGCGTTGGTCATTAACAGCAGTCAGTGGAAGACTGTCATTTTCCTCTTTGGCTATAATCTTCTTACGTGCACTCGAGCCACAAGGTTTCACTATACGCGGTGGAACCACGCTGGTGTTTATCCATAAAACACGAGCAGCATACCCGCTGTTATTCACAAATGGGACTGTATACTGGTAATACCGAAATACAGAATGACTACAAAGTCCCCGGACACTCCACATTTATGCATACATCTACACAAATCGGTGTATAAATGTTTAAAAAAATGTACCTGATTCTTGTCTAGGAAAAGAAGGGCTCTTCGTTGATCAATGAAATTTATCGAAACAAACATGTGCTAGCCTATAATCACACTGTCATCGATTCAGTGTGTCTGTGTTCACCGTCATTCTCAGCACATAGACAAATGCGTCTCTAAGTGCGTGCTGAGATGCAATGCAGAACATCAGGGGAAATCGAATTCAATGAAGCACCGAGTGCAGCTTTACGTTTTTCTCTGTTGTTGTAACCTGTTTTTCTGATGTCTTCTTTCATTCTGCCCCACAAGGCATTGTCGCATGATGCGAGGTCAGGACTGCGAGTTGACCATTACTGCTGTGATCCTCGTTCAATCCACCGGCCATGGAAATTCTCATCCAGGAACCGGCACATGGAGATAGCAAAATGTGCAGAAGCACTATATTGCTGCAGAATGACTACATGCATGATTACAGTTGAAACCAAATGTGGAATTAACCAGGTCTCCAACATTTCTGGTTAGGTGCATTGATTCACAGAATTTTCGAGAAAAATGGCCCATTGATTTTGCTGGCTGATATTGCCGCCCACATCACGACGTGCGGTGGGTTTTGGGCGATTTCTTCAGCAAAGTCTGGGTTAATCTTGCTCTAAATGTAAACATTACGTGATCCTGAGCTGAGATAGACAGCACGTTCATCACTACAGAAGACATTGTGACAACTGATTTTTTGTAGGGAATTCCTGGAGAAGGTATTGACGATTCTGTCGATCAATATCAGACAGTTCACTGACCTGCATTGGCCTGGATGCTGACAATCCTAGGTTAGTCTTGAGTATCTTTTGGAGTGTGAAGCGGGGAATATGAAATTCAGCAGACCTCTTACGAGTCGATTTCTTTGAAAAATTGAAAACTGATTGCTGGATGATTTCCACATGCTCCATTCAGGAGGCAGCGCATCCAGAGCAAGGAGCGTTCAGCACAGATCCAGATGCAAATGTCTTCTCCCATGCTAATATGTCTTTTTTTGGTGCGGCCTTCTTGAAACGCTCCTGAAATTTGCTGGAAACGTCTGTCATTATTCTTTTTTTCTAACACGATCAAGTACCCAAACAACAGCTGTTAGTCTTTCTTCATTGGTGTAGGGACTTGTGTCGGTGATTTTTCGAATGTATGCCTGAAAATAGAAAGGCAAAAGTATCGTACATCTATGCTATAAATATTATGATAAATGAGCGGATGTTAAATAATAAATGGTATTACAAAAACATCAGTTATGAACAGTGACCAGGGACTTCATGACCACCTTGTACATTGTGTGTGGAATGCATAGATGGTGGAACGTCTTTTACACCTTTCTGAGTATGACCAATGGATGGATATCTATCCTAACAGAACGATGATGCTTAGTCGCTCAATAATGCTTACGATAAATCTAGACCAACCATCCATTTACGGTCGATCAATTTAACGGGGTCCATCGATATCCTTGACATTAGTAGATACTAGCCAGAGTAGACTTAAAGCCCGGCAATGCAGATCGAAGCTTCGGTTTCCCCACATGCCGCTTTCCCACACTCATCTGACCATATAATAGCTGCTTCGATATACGCGTCAAATCCATACGCCCCACGTGATCCGCGCCACCATAAGTGCTTCAGCAAAACTATACAGTCCACTGTATACATTCCACTTCGACGCAACACTTCCGTGTCCGAAACTCTATCGCACCAACCGATGCACAGAATCCTTCGCAAAAACTGTTGATGAAACCCCTCGACATATCGCATCTTCCACGTCTCGCTGCCGTATAGAAGCACGGACAGCACCATGGATTTGTACATCATCATCTTCATGTCAACGGTAAGCTGATGGTTGTTCCACACTCGATACTCTAGCTTCCCGAATGCCGCCGCTACCTTTGAGACGCGGATACCAAGCTCGCTATGCAGCTGCTGGTCAGTCGACAACACTCCAAGATAGCAGAAGCGGGAAGTGATTTCCAATACTTCATTACCAATGCTGATTCGCGGCACTATTGTAGATTGCGCCTCCGGTGAAGACTGAAAGAGACAGACGGTTTTGCTTGCCAACAGTATATTCTGAATTCAGATATTTCCTGTCCTCATCAGCTGTTGACAGACAAGCAGTGGAACTGCTACAATGTAGCACACCAAGGTAAAACGGGGTGCAAGATCGTTCGGTTTAAATGAAGCTCATCGATAATACCTTACCAGGGTAAGGCTAGGATAATCAGAAATTTTGTCTGCTTACATAATTTGGGCTTTAATCTACGGATCGCTGTGGCCTCTGCAAACTGAAGCAGACGGGCAGTGCTTTGCCGACTAATGGTCGTGAACGACTCACGTGGATGTTGGCAAGTAGGGCAATCGACCATTTGCCGGGCAACAGAGCTAGCGAGCAACCTCGGGCCGTCTGCCACTATGTTACGCATGGCTTGCTCTGAAATTCTTGTGGATAGCCTCCTCTCAGTTCGGCCCACATACTTGCTCCCGCAAGTACAATGAAAATGGG